CCTGGGGGATGGTCACCCTTGAAGCTCTGACTTGAGGGGGCAGGGGAGGCAAGGGCAATTTATGTAAACTTAAGAACATTTGTACCCCCATAATATAATGAAATTAAAAAAAAATTTCAAAACACAAACCACAAGGCAAAAGACACATTTTTGCATAAGGCAAAAAAATCAGTTTGATTCATCAGAATTAAAAGATAACAGAGAAATGGCAATTTTGGGAAAATATATTTGTAACCTCCAAGTCCAAAAAGAGACTAACATTTAGATTCAGAATATACTAGGAATTTCTATGAATTAATAAGAAAAAGATGGGATTCAAATGGGGAAAAAGTTATTAAAGAATATAATCAGGGGCTTTGCAGAAAGGGAAATTTAGAAGCTAATAAACACATTCGGAGATGCTAATAGATGTATTAGATGTCACAGAAATGCAAGTTAATAGAACAGTAGACAGCAGTTTTAGACAGAGTAGCCTCAAACTCCCCAATGTGGAAACAACCAATTGATATTCATACAATAAACCCCGCCCCCCTTTTTTTTTTGAGACAGGGTCTCACTCCCTCTGTCAAGAGTACATTGGTGTCATCATAGCTCACTGCAACCTCAAACTCCTGGGCTCAAGCGGTCCTCCTGCCTCAGCCTCCCAAGTAGCTGAGACTATAGGCACTCACCACAGCACCTGGCTAATATTTTCTATTTTTGGTAGAGACAGGATCTCACTGTTGCTCAGGTTGGTCTCAAACTCCTGACCTCCAATAATCCTCCTGCCTCAGCCTCCCAGAGATCTATTATTACAGTTGTGAGCCACCACACTTGTCCATAAAAAAACAATTCCTTATAACTTGATATTATTTAGATTGGAAAACTAAGCAGATAATGCCAGGAGTTGGCAGGGTGCAGGGATCCATGGCTGGTGGGTGTGTAGACAGGCCATCCGTGACTCATAATTCATATGTGAAAAATCTCAAAGACATTCTCACACTGGCCCAAAGGATAAGAGAGGCAAGAAGACATTTGATGCAGAGATATTTGTAGGGGTGGGAAGTTGAAGGCAATTTGGGTGTTGGCTCCTGCTGGTGTAGACGGATAAATGTTTTATCACATTGATGGAAGTAGGCAAAAAGCGGTGGCGCCTGTAATCCTAGCACTTTGGGAGGTTGAGGAGGGAGGAGGCCAGGAGTTTGAGACTAGCTTGGGCAATGTAGCAAGACCCCATCTCTAACAAAAAAGTTTAAAAATCAGATCGGCATAGTGGGGCCTTAGAATGGTAGTGGTGCCAGTAGTACCAGTTGCTGTGGAGGCTGGGGCAGAAGGACTGCTGAGCCCAGGAGTTCAAGGTTGCAGTGAGCTATGGTCACTCCACTGTACTCCAGCCTGGGTGACAAAGTGAGACCGTGTCTCCCCCCAAAAAGGATGTGGTGGATGCACACTTTAGAGTCCCCTGCAGCAGCTAGATGCAGTAGATGGGATGTACTCAGAGCAGCATGCATGGATCTGCAGAATAAAAAGCTAAGAGACAAAATGAGACATAAAACAAAATGCCTTTTATGTAAATTAAAAACACAAAACAATCCAATTAGAAAATAGGCTGAAGACATGAACAGATATCACCAAAGAGGAGATATGGGTGGCAAATAAGCACACGGAAAGACGTTCAACATCATCAGCCATCAGGGAAATGCAAATTAAAATCACAATACGGTATTACTATACACTTATTAGAACAGCTAAAATTAAAAAACACAGCGATGACAGGAAATGCTGGCAAGGATGTGGAGAAACTGGATCTCTCAGACATTCCTGGTGGAAATGTAAAATGGCACAGCCATCCTGGAAAACAGTATGACAATTTATAAAGCTAAATGTACACTTACTGTGAGACCCAGCAGTGGCATTCTTGGGGCATATATCCCAGAGAAATGAGACTCACATTCATGTAAAAACCTGTACAGAATGTTTATAGTTGCTTTATTTGTAATCCTCCAATTTAGTGGGTGAATAGTTAAACGCTGGTACGCCCATGGCGTGCAGCACTACTCAGTGTTAAAAAGGAGAGAACTACTGGTGCGTGCAGTGACTTAGGTGTACCTCAAGGGCGTTACGGTTGCTGGAAAAAACGCCAGTCTGCAAAGGGTATGCACTGCATGATTCTATTCACATGATATTCTCAAAGTGACAAAACTACAGAGATAGAGAAGAGATTAGTGGCTGCCAGGGCACAGGGACAGAAGTGAGGGGACAAGAGTGTGACTATAAAGGGTACCACAAAGGAGTCCCCCACAGTAATGGGACAGTTCTGTGTCTGATTGCGGTGGTAGGTATACAGGTCTATTGACGGTATCAAATTGCATAGAACTACACACACACACACACACACACACATATGCACACACAAATAAGTGCATGTGAAAACTGAACAATAAGGTCTGTAGTTTATTTAACAGTATGGTATCAATGTCAATTTCTTGATTTTGCTATTTTGTTAGTTATATAATGTTACCATTGGGGGAAGCTGGTGAGGTGTTCACAGGACACCGTGTACTGTTTTTGCAACTTCTTGTGAGTCTACAATTATTTCAAAATAAAAAAGTTTTTAAAAATGTGTATGCAATTCTAAAACGCACATTTTACAAGAACGAGTAAGAACAAAAGCCTGTATATGAAACACCCTAGAATGGTAGTCTATGCGGGGAGGGAGCGGGAGGGGGAATGAGCACAGAAGGAAATAAACAGCTACATTAATCAACGGCCCTTGTGCAGATCACTGAGAATAACGGGCTGTGAACCGGAAAAGGTATTAACTCAAACCTCTCTGCACCTGAGGTCCGGCGGGGGTGGGGTGGGGTGGCGGGGATACGGAGGGCAGGGGATCGATAACATTAAAGATAGGGCTTTTTGTCACTGCCATTAAAGACTTCCATTTATTCCAGAGAAGCTTGGAAGAGGGTTGGAGGAGGAGAGAAGGATGATGCGGAGGGAGGAGGAGGAGGCGGCTGTGGACAGCATTCTTCTCTGAGGGCTCCGGGCTGGTCTAGGGACCAAATGGGTCACAGCAGCTGAAGCCCTCTGGAGCTCCGAGGCCCCACGGGGGAGGCCTAGTTTCCAGGTGCTCTTCTGGCACCTGGTGCTCACAAGGTGCTCTGTGTGCTGGGAACTCAGAAGTGCTGATTTTTAGCATCAACACGCAACCTCCAGGGGCGGGGTGACCCTAGGCAAGACCCCTAATTTAGCTATGCCTTCTGCACGCTTAGCGGCTGGGCTCCCCGCCCCAGCATTGTTGGGAAGGCAGAGCTAATAAGAGGATGGGAGGATTTTTAAAGCTATTTGCACAAGTACACAACCTTAGCTGTAAACACGGTATGCACTACTGACCAAGTGGATAACTGAGGAAGGAAGAATGCAAGGACAAAACAGAATAATTGAGGAAGTACGTAATGGTTTATTGACAAGGATGCTCATCTCGATGTCACTTAAGATAATGAACAATGTCCAATGCTAGAGACTTGTTTAAAAATTTGTGCTACATTCATGTGATAGAATACATTAAGAAGAAGGTATGCACGAATTTTTATTTATTTGAAATAAATTTCCTTTAGAGTCAGTGTCTGGCTATGTTGCCCAGGCTGGTTTTGAACTCCTGGGCTCAAGGGCTCCTCCTGCCTCTGGTCTCCTGAGTAACTGGGACTACAAGTGAGCGAGTCCATGCTCAGCAAGAATTTTGCCAAGAATTTTTAATGTTATGGAAAAACGTGATATATTGCTGTCCTCTGGAAAAATTAGAAAAGCGTATGTACTGAACAATCCTTTTCTAAAAGATGTAAGAGTATATAAATCATGCATAGAAGAGCCACGAGGATATTCACCAGAATATCAATACCAGTAGACTTGAGGTTTATACACTTTACTACATGTAAATTGTATATGAATTTTTTTTAAGTTTTAAAAAATATTAACACTGGTGGTGTGTGGGTAACGTGAGATTAGGGGTGATATTATTTTTCATTGTGTTTTTCAACTTTCCCATAGTAAATATGTGTTAACTTTCCTAGACAGGTAACAAAGTAACCACTTTTCTGCTTTTCTCTGGAGGAGCCATCTGGGGGAGCCTGGCAGCTCTGCCCAGAGAGGCGGGGGAGGGACAGAGTGCAGCCAGGCCTGGCCAGCCCCGGGAGGAGACAGCCCCTTGCCCAGCCAACCCCAGCCAGCTCAGCCACTTGCAGGCCCAGAACCGGTTGATTCAGGAACCGCCCTGAAAGCTGCCATTGCTTTTCTGAAAGATAAGGAGAACCACAAGGCTGGCGCTGGAGAGGGACGGGCCAAGGTCGCTTGATAAGCGCAAGATACATATATAACCATGTCTTTCACCCTCCTGCACAGCTCTTCGTTTCCTTTCGCTCCTTCCGAGCGCCTGCCCATTGCAGGCTAAGGGACAGGGCGGAGACGTGAGCGGTTTCACGAAGGGTGGCTCTGCCCTCCTCTCACTTGCCTCCTGTCAACAGTGCTCCCATTATTGAGAGCTGACCACACGCCAGGCCTGTGCCTCCACCATTGCATGTCTCACCACAACCCTGTGAGGTCTGCAGGTGCAGGACTCTAGGCTCAGAGAGGTTGAGGAACTCATCCTAGGAAACACAGCCAGTTAGTTACGCGGTAGTGCATCTAGGATTCCAACCCAGGCCAGCCCAGACTGCGGCTGGGGAGACAGGCCCTGGGGCCCAGGCCCGGCGAGGCCGAGCCCTGCAAGGTGGGCGGGGGCGGGGGTGCAGACGCAGCCCGGTGGGCTCCCCCGCCTGCTGGGGGGCCTGAGAGCCGTGGTGGGTAGCAGCCCCCGACGGGGCGGGGCGGCGGGGAGCTCAGAGCGGCCGCAGGAGCCCGGGGCGGTGGGGGACGGAGGGCGGGGGGCGAGCCCGCGGGCGCCCGCCGGGCGATTCCCGTAAACACGGGCGGGGCGGGGCGGGGCGGGGCTTGGCCGCGGCCCAGCATTTCCGGGGACGCCGCGCCGGACCGAGGGTGTTCGCCGGAGGCTCCGCGTCCCCAGGGACGGCCCGGGCCCGTGGACGCGCCGCGAAGAGGGGCCGCGCCGCGGGCGGTGGGCGACGCGGGCCCTGACTCCCCCCAGGTAGGCGCGGGGTGGCATCGCGGCCCGGGGGCCGGCCGCGGCCCCTGCCCCCACCTGCGCCCGCAGCCCCGGCTCGCCCGGCTCCCGAGGGGGCGCCACCTGCACGCTCTGATGGGCACCAGCGCCCGCCACTCGGGAGCCTGTTGCCATAGCAGTGCGGGAGGCCGGGCCCACGTTCCCATGGCCACTAGGGGCCTTTTGGCGGAGTCCCACAAGGCCGCCTTGCGCCGCCCCCGACTCCCCAGCCGGGAATCCTGGCCCTGGAGGGGAGTCCTTCGGAATTCGGGAAGGGCCTGGGCGCCTCCTCTGTGGGGTGGTGGGTGTGACCCCTGCGTTAGGCCCTTTGCCGGGGCTTCCTCCTCTGCGCTGGGCAGACTGCAAGGTGCACAGAGGGGATGGGAAGGGAAGGAAGGTGGGGTCCCGGGAATGAGGCTGCTGTCCTGGCTTCTCCGGAGCCACTCTGATCTAGCAAAAAGGCCCAGAGCCCTGGGTCATCTCGGGAAGGTCATCAAACCTCTGCTCACATTTCCCCACCTGTAATGTGAGTATGCTACTTAAGAATCGCAGGATTCTTGTAAGGATCGAATGCCATAAGCACCGGGAAACGTACAATTAAAAAAAAAATTCCCTGCAGATGCTTTAGAACTGGAAGAGATTTAGAAATCATCTTGTCCCTTCCCCTCTCATTTTCACGAAACTGGACCCAGAGAGATTAAATTACTTCCCAAAATGAAATAGTGAGTTGGTGGAAAGGTCAGGATTTGGACTTAGTCTCCTGACTCCAGGGCGTGGCTGTTTCCCTTGGTGATTATTCTTTCTGAAGCTTATGGAAATCTGGGATATGTCTCCTTGCACCTGGGGCTCAAGCTTTTGGTGACATGTGATCTAAAGATGGGGACATTGACTACAGGTGAACTAAAGATGGGAAATGGAGGCTGTTGCCTGGGGGAGAACCGAAAGAGCCTCTGTCCCTGGTGCATAAGTCTTGTGCCCTGGGGCTCTTGCTTTAACGTAGTATCTGATAGGATTGCCCAGAATAAATCCCCAGGAGCCAAGCGTTCTGTGTTTCTCCAAAATGCCATCTCTTCTGAAGCCAACAAAGCCCCTGAGCCTGGAGCCGCGTGAGCAGGAAAACCCTTTGGCTGCCCTACAGCAGGCCAGCGGGGCTCTGTCCTCCCCATCAGTGTGTGCCTTTTCCTTTGGAAAACAGGCAGGTGGGAAACAGGGAGGTGGGGGGAAAGATCCAGGAAGGAAAACTTGAATGAATCCTTTGGAAATGATTTGAGACAGTCACCTGGAGCAGAAAACTCACTCACTCATTCGGTAAACAGTTAGGGTAACTGCTATTTCCAAGTCCCGCCCTGGGGCTAGAGTCTAAAAACCTGAGTTAGCCTGGCCTGCTCCTTGCACTCAGGGAGTCTGTGGCAGAGAAGGAAAGGGCATGTGTTGTGTAAATGAGTACTTCTTTTCACTGCGGTATAATGAGGGCCTTAATGGGAATCTGAGCGAGTGCTGAGGGCCAAGGGAACCCAGAGGAACAGCTCAGGAAATCAGTTGAGAACGGCAGGGTTCTACCTGATGCAACCTGGGAGCATTTCTGAGGCTCCTCCAGGTTGGCCCTGGGCTATACCTTTGTTGGAGAGAAAGGAATGAGTGAAAGTATCTAAAAAACTGCGGATGAGAATGGGTATTCTTTGGAAAGAAGAGTTTAAAGCATCCTGATAAACTGTAAGCTCTGTGAAGGCAGCAACCTTCAAATTTATTTTCCTTCAACTTAAGCAATGCTTAGAAGGCAGCAAGTACACAAGAAACATTTGTTGAATGAATGAAAGGAGGAGGATGGCCGGGTGCAGTGGCTCACACGTGTCATCCCAGGACTTTGGGAGGCCTTGGCAGGAGGATCACCTGAGCCCAGGAATTTGAGGGCACAGTGAACTAGGATCCCTGCCACTGCTCTCCGAAAGAAAGAAGGAAGGGAGGGAAAGAAGAAGGAAAAGAAAAGAACAAGGAGGGCGTGAAGGAAGGAAAGGTGGAAGGATGGACAGCAGCTTTTATCACCAGAAGAGTAGGAAAGTTATAACTTGAGACAAAATAGTGGCTGAAATTCTGACTATGGGTAGAGTCTCCATGTGCACTCTGATCCTCATCCTGACTTAGCACTTGTGTGACCCTAGCAAGCCCCTGAACCTGTCCTTGCCCCAGTTTTTCACCTATGCAGTGGGACTACAGCAACCCCTCTTGTGAGAATTACATGATCAGATGTAAAACGTTCAGCGCAGTGCCTTGCTTACAGTGAAAGCTCAATGAATTCTAGCCATGTAAATGTCAACTTGCATGTAGGTGCAAAGAGTTTGCCAGGTATTTCATGTCAAGATTATATAACTACTCCAAACAGAGGTATCATTTCTTCTTACCTGACTTGGGAGTTCCCTGTCTCTGCAGACTAACACGCCTTACCTAAAGAGATGCCTCTTCACCTTTTTGATAGGGGAAGGCTGGTGGCAAGGAGCTTTGTGAAATTAAATCGAAGTTCTGCTTGCCTCTCTCCAGAAGTGGCATATCATTCTTGGTGTTCACAGCCCCCTGAGGCCCACCCACCCTTGGGGTTGGGGCTCCCTGCTCTGCCCACCGCTCGAGGGCTGTAGTGAGAGAACGCAGGCAGCATTAGGCAGCATTCGCAGAGGTGGCTGGGAGGAGCGAGCTGGGTCTCTCTCTCTTTCAGGGGGTTTGCGGAAACCACAGGCGAGAGAGCTGGAGAAAAGCCCATGGGGCTGGGTGTGCTGAGCCCGTTAGAGTCCCCTCCCCTGCTAGGGCCGAGCTGTGCCCGCTCACAGTGCTTAACCGGTGCCGCTGGGGCGTCACAGGCGGCTGGTGAGTGAGATCCCCATCCAGCCGGGCATCTTTGCTGCTGCCCTCACACCAGCTGTCTGTGAGTGTCATCTCCTGATGCCGTTGCTTTAGGTGGCAAGTGGGCACACCACCACGGGTGGCACATTCCTCGGAACCCTCACCCTGGCCAAGCAGGGCAAGGGTGCGTGCCCCCCGCCTTCCATCCCCATCGCCCTCCCGGCCGTACCTGTTCCCGCCCACTCTCGGGAGTCAGCGAGGCTCTGTCTAGGAGCAAAAGTGGCAGCCCCCAGATGACCTGAGGTGACTGGGAAATGCCAGGCTCAGAGAGCCCTTCCAACATGGGAAGGACAAGGCCAAGGGGAGAGCCTTGGGCCTCAGGGAGGGAAGGTTGGTTTCCTACGGTAGAGAGAGGGCCCCGGCCCGGCTCTTCTTTCCCCTCATGGGGCAATGGCCAGCGGTCTGGCACTCACAGTGGGGTTTCAGGACCCAGTGGCAAATCAGGCAGATAGATTCCTGACCTCTTGGGATCTCTGGAACCAGGTCTGACAAGCTGCACTGGAAGGCGAGACTGTCGCTCTTGGTCCCCTACACTGCTAACTCCCGTCTTCACGTGGCCTGGCACACCTGCCTCCCACCTGTGAGTGGCTGCAGTGGTTTGAGAGCAGGAAGGAGAGTCCCTGAGCAGTCACTGTGCCCTTTGAGGTGATGGGTGCCAGACATCAGCCAGGCCAAGTACCCAGACCGGAGAGCAGGCTGGGAGGCACAGGCAGACGGGGCCTCCTGAACTTGTGTTGGGGGGCAGGGGAGTGACAGTGGCAGCTTCATGTTCTACCCTGTCTGTTGGGGCAGGGACAGGTTGAGCCCTGCTGGTTGCACCACAGCGCTGTGGGGTGGGGGATCCCCTCCCAGGGAGTGGCCAGCTCAGGCCCCAACAGGCCCAGTGGGGGCGGTGCTGGGTGGCGGGCTCCACCACAGCGGGCGCACCCAGGCTTGGGCTGGGCTGGCCGGTTCCTTCTCCCGGTGAGAGTTGCAGCCTCAGCAGCAGGTTAGCAGGAGGCCGCTGAACCTGCGGGGACAGCCCGGAAGGGGGTCGTCAGGGATGGGCGTCTAGGACAGTTCAGTTGTTAAGTGGGCGTGGTGGCGTGCACCTGTGGGCCCAGCTACTCAGGAGGCTGAGCTGAGCTGATCGCTTGAGCTTGGTTTAGGGCTGGCTCTGGCGACATCTCGACAGATCCTGCCTCTTAAAAAAAAAAAAATTAAGTTAAGAAGTTGTGGAGGGCATGGGGCAAGTTTTCAGGTAGGGGAGGTGAACCGATTACATAACAAGCATGGCCTGTTCGCTGAGCATTCACTACCCGCTGGCACAGCCAGTCACTTTGCATGTCGTGTCTCGTCAATCCTCCCAACCACCCGTGAGGCTCTGCTAGTGGGCTTATCCCAGACAAGGAAGCTGAGGTTCAGAGAGATTCCGTGGCTTGCCAGAGGTCCACAAAATAACGGAAGGTGCAGAATTCTTCTGACAGAAGAAGCTGTTGCCCAGTCATTGGATTTTCCCGCTAACTGGAGTGAGAAAGACACGGGGCGGGGGGTAGGGGGTGGGAGGATACGGTTCAGGGAACAGAGAGAGGACGTTTATTTACATTTGTTGCCAGACCTCGGTTAAAGCTGCCTGTGCAATTTGCAGGCAGCGTTGGTGCCGGCCCTGGCTGGCTGCCCTCTGCTGCGGAGGGCAGGGCACTGCCCCAAGGAAGCTCCCAGCCCTCAGGACCTGGCAGCCATTGGTTGATTTAAAAGTACACACAGGGTATGCCAGCTGGTGTCGCTTCCTCATCAAAATGTATTGATGCTGCGGCTGAGCTGCTGCCAGCCCCTGGGGAGAAGACACCAGCAGCCAGCCCAGCCAGGGCAGGGTGGGGAGCCGCAGCTGCAGGATGGCATAAGAGGAGGGCTGGGGCTAGAGGGGTGGTGGGCGGGGAGTGGGGTGCGAGGCCTGGGGAGCTGGGCTGCAGCCAGTGCATGTGCACGGCTGTGAGGCCTCCCTGGCAGCCTGCCAGGCAGCACCCAGGGGACGGGGAGGAGCTTGACTGCTACCCCAGGAGGGGGTGGGCAGGACCTTTGGGTTCAAGCTCCACTGGGCTCAGCAGGAGGCC